GAAGTGAGGGGTGGATCTGTCTCGCTGACTGTAGCAATGCCTCATTATTTCTGCTGTAAAGTCGAGCACTTTAACATGGGTGTCTGTGGGGACTGACTTGCTTCAAGAGCGAGCCTTACGTGGCCATTAGAGGAACTGCAGTTTTTGGCACTTCCACTTTGGCTTTACTTTTCAGCACTGGATGTTGCTACTTGGTTTTAGGACTCATTCCTGCAGCACTCTATATAGTAATTAAAGAAGAGGTCATATTATATCATGGCTCTGATTAATTCCTTTCTTATTCCACCTACCTACAGGTACCACCTGACCTGGCCAAACACCAGTCCAATCCCAGCAGAGACCACCTTACATCCCACCACTGCCCTCCAGACCACCCTTCCAGCTGACATCCAGCTCCCCACCATACACAGCGGCCCCACTCAACAGGCTGTTTTTGTGGGTGAGACAGCCAGCTTCCTTTGTGAGGTGTCCGGGAAGCCACAACCAGAGATCACCTGGGAGAAACAACTGAAGGGCAAAGAGAACACCATAATGAGACCCAATCATGTCCGAGGGAACGTCGTGGTCACTAACATTGGCCAGCTGGTCATATACAATGCGCAACTTCAGGATGCCGGTATCTATACATGTACAGCCAGAAACGTTGGGGGAAGTGTATCGTCACACTTTCCCTTGGTAGTGATAAGGAAGGAGGCGAAAGGTAGGAATGCAGAGGGGAACAGTACCAAGCTGCCATTTCCAGCTGAAGAGTGCCTTAAGAGTCCAGACACAGATGACTGTGGAGAAGAGAGCATGAGCTGGTACTATGAACCAAAGAGGAACAATTGCTTCACCTTCACCTACAGTCAGTGCAATAAAAACCGCAACCATTTCGACACCTACGAAGCCTGTATGCTGTCATGTGGAGGAGAGCTGGCAGCTCCCTGCAGCCTACCGAGCCTCCAAGGGCCCTGCAAGGCCTATGAGCCTCGCTGGGCTTATAGCAGCAGTCTCAAAAAGTGTCAGTCCTTCGTGTATGGAGGCTGTGGCGGCAACGAGAACAACTTTGTGTCCAAAGAAGCCTGTGAAGAGATGTGTCCCTTTCCGAAGAACCACAACTGCAAGGCATGTAAACCTCGAGCCAAGATGGTCACCAGCTTCTGCAAGAGTGACTTTGTGATCCTCGGGCGTGTGACCGAACTGACAGAGGAGCAAGAGTCAGGCCATGCTTTGGTGACAGTGGAGGAGATCTTGAAGGATGAGAAGATGGGTCTGAGGTTCTTTGGCAAAGAGCCCCTGGAGGTGACACTTCTGAACATGGACTGGAACTGCCCCTGCCCCAACGTCACCACAGCCGATGGGCAGCTCATTATCATGGGAGATGTTCAAAATGGGATGGCTGTCCTGCAGCCTGATAGCTTTGTAGGCTCCTCTAGCACCCGCAGAATCAGGAAGCTTCGTGAGGTTGTCCACAAGAAAACCTGTGATTTCCTTAAAGATTTCTCAGCTGTCCAGTAGTCTTTTAAAGTCTCACACTCACTGAACGTCTGTTAATGTTGTTTTCTGATTATTCCAAGCTCCAGTGACCTCACCAGTCTGATCGACTGCCAGCAAACATAAAACAAGTAACTTATCTGTGACGTTGGAGGTTTTGTTGCCGGTTTCAGGTGCGTTTCTTTACTTACTCTGTTTCTTCTTGTTCAGCAGATCTCAGAAAATCACTCCTCGTAGTTCACACTCTTGCCTCTGATCATTTGTGTCATCAGTTTTCATTCATAATTTTGTCACAGATGCTGTGTCAAAACTGTCCTTACAGCTCTTTTTGAAATTAGAATCAAGCTTAAGCAGTTTTGATGTTCGCACCTAGGGCACACTGTCTGGAAAAGGCAGGTAGAGTAATTAGTCACAAGCATTTACCCTGTACAAAGTATTTAATCTCTGCAACTGTTTACTAAAATTGCATCATAGATTTCCCATCTATCTAATATCATTCATTTAGCGGTATGTTTTAATATGATTGCTTCATTTGTTTGACGTTGTGTAACCTCTGTCCGGAGCCCTTGAGCTCACAGTATTGCAATTTAAAGCCTCAGTATATTTACCAGAATCAGATAAGCTCTTTGGTTCCATATTTTTGCGGAATCTATTTTGATAAGTTTTAAACGTTCAGTGTGTTGGATTTAGGGGGATATATTGGCAGAAATGGAATATAATATATAAGTATGTTATCTTTAGCACCTGCAAATAAGAATTGTTGTGTTTTTGTTACCTTAGAATGAGCAGTTTATATCTACATAGGGAGCGGGTCCTCGTCCATGATGATCGCCATGTTGCACCACCATGTTTCTACAGTTGCCCAAAACGGACAAATCAAACACTGGCTCTAGATAATGCCATTCACGTTTTTGTGTCAGCTACCGTAGTTAGCAACCCCCTCATGCAACACATTCTCACTCCGACCTCGTCACATATCGACGTTTGGTCATGGTGGTTCCATGTCCACATACGATTTAAAGGTACTCTGGGTGTGTTGGACCCTTCCATCCACCCTACTTGGACTTTCGCCGCCTTAACTTTTGTTCCTGTCCCACTGCGTTTCCGTATGATGCGGCAGAGCGCCATTAAACTGTAACTGCAGCTGGCTGTGTATTATCCTGACGTTAAAGGACGGCTTTTATCGTCAGTGTCTGATGCTGCAAGTCACTGCCCAAGCACTGGATTTCGATGACTT